AAGCTTTAAAAATACCGGTTTGGAAAGGACACTTCAAAGGTGGATCATCTATATCATATTTAATGACCTCACACTTAATTGCATTATATCAGGGGACACACGAAATGCATGTGACATATCTGGTGATGTTGACCTCCTTCACCTGGTTAATGCATAGAGTATTGTTTTTTGGTATGTTGCATTGGTAACTTAAAAAAACTGTGATAAAATATGTACAACATAAAATTTACCATGTTAAAAATTTTGAAGTGTACAATTCAGTGGAATGAATGATATTTACCATGTGTACCAAGATCACCATCTATTTCTAAGACATTTTCATCTATGAGGGTGACAGGGTAGAGATGAGAATGTGGGGGCTGAGGCCAAGTTAAGACTTTTTTTCCTTATCTAAGGATCAGTGAAAGATTTTAAGATGTGCATCAGGTCAGACTTTCATTTTATCACTTAAAAAAATCCTGCTCCAAGGATATGCTTATTGATTTTAGAGAGTGACAAAGGGAGAGAGGGAGAGAGAGAGGGAGAGAGAGAAACATTGATGTGAGAGAGAAAAAAAGATTGGCTGCATCCTGTACCAGCAAACTTCTGGTGCACAGGATGATGCTCCAACCAACTAAGCCACCTGTCTAGGCCCACACTTTTATTTTATTTTATTTTTATTGTTTAATATATTTTATTGATTATACTGTTATAGTTGCCCCAGTTTGCCCCCTTTTGCCCCCCTCCACCTGGTACCCCCACTCCCTCCAGCAGTCCTCTCCCTTCGTTCATGTCCATAGGTCATACATAGCTTCTCATAGTAGTTCTTTGGCTTCTTTATTTCTTACACTGTTCTAACACCCTCCTGTCTATTTTGTACCCACCATTTATGCTTTGTATTCCTTGAACCTTTTCTCCGTTCTCCCCCTCCCAACTGATAACCTTCCAATGGCCTCCATATCTATGATTCTTTTCCTGTTCTGCTTGCTTGCTTAGTTTTTTAGGTTCAGTAGTTGATAGTTGTGCATTTGTTGCCATTTTAATGTTCACAGTTTTGATTTTCTTTTTCTTATATAGTTTTCTTTAGCATTTTATATAATAATGGCTTGGTGATGATGAACTCCTTCAATTTTACCTTATTTGGGAAGTACTTTATCTGCCCTTCAATTCTAAATGATAGCTTTGCTGGATAGAGTACTCTAGGATGTAGATCCTTGCTTTTTACCACTTTGAATAATTCTTGCCAGTCCCTTTTAGCCTGTAAAGTATCTTGTGAGAAATCAGCCAACAGTCTTATGTGGACTCCTTTGTAGGTAACTCTTTGCTTTCCTCTTGCTGCTTTTAATATTCTCTCTTTATCTTTAATCTTTGGCATTTTGATTATGATGTGTCTTGGTGTGGTCGTCTTTGGGTACAACTTGTTCAGGACTCTCTGTTGTGCTTCCTGGACTTGTATGTCTATTTCCTTCACCAAATTAGAGAAGTTTTCTTTCATGATTTTTTTCAAATAAGTTTTCAATTTCTTGCTCTTCCTCTTCCTCTTCTGGCACCCCTATGATTTAGATGTTGGTATGTTTGGAGATGTCCCAGAGGCTCCTTATTCTACTCTCTTTTTAAAAAATTCTTTTTCTTCTTGCTGTTATGATTGAATGCTTTTTTCTCCCTATGGTTCAAATAATTAATTTGAATCTCAGCTTTGTTCCCTCCACTGTTGGTTTCCTATGGATTTTTCTTTATTTGACTTAATGTAGCCTTTATTTCTGCCTGGGTGTTTTTTACATTGTTGCAGCATCCAATTCTTTCTTTCATTCTTTTTTTTTTTAAGATTTTATTTATTTATTTTTAGAGAGAGGGGAAAGGAGAGAGAAAGAGAGGGAGAGAAAGACCAGTGTGTGGTTGTCTGTGACACATTCCCAACTGTGGACCTGGCCCCAAACCCAGACATGTGCCCTGACTGGGAATTAAACCAGTGACCCCTTGGTTCCAAGGCTGGCACTCAGTCCACTGAGCCACACCAGCCAGAGCTCAATGATTTCTTTGAGCATCCTGATAACCAGTGTTTTGAACTCTTCATCTGATTAGTTGCTTATCTCTGTTTAATTTAGTTTTCCTGGAGTTTTGTTCTGTTCTCTCTTTTGGGCCATGTTTCTTTGTCTTCTCAATTTGGCAGCCTCCCTGTGTTTGTTTCTGTGTATTAGGTAGAGCTGCTTTGACTCTTTGTCTTAGTAGTGTGGCCTGTTATAGAAAAGTGTACTTGTAAATTGTGTGGGGCGGAGCCTTAGGTCGGTTGCCAGGGTGGGGCAACCTGTTTCACCACTTTGTGGTTCTGTGTGGGGGAGAGTTCACAGAGTGGACAATGACTCTGCTTGGCCTCTGGAAACAGCCTCTGGAGACTGCCTGAGAGGAAGCTGTCTCCCTGGCACTTGCCCCTCTGCCAGTCACTCCACTTTCTCCCCTTCTCCCTGTATGCCACTTGTGCCCTTCCAGCTATTGCCTTGGTGCTGAATCCCAGAGGGGGTGGATCTGCATGAGTTCTATGTCTATTGTGGGCCCTGCAAGAGAAGTCCCTTGAGAATCCTGCAGTTTCTTCTACCATCCCAACCCCCACTGGTTTTTGCAGCCAGAAGTTATGGGGGCTTATCTTCCTGATGCTGGAACCCTGGACTAGGTGATCTGGTCTGGGGCTGGGGTTGTTAGTTTCTGAAGTATCTCTCCCAATTTTTATCCACCACACTTGAATGTGGGACTAGCACGTTCCACCACTTCTCTGCACCTTTCTGTGCCTCTCTGTGCCTCTGCATCTCTGCCCTTCCTACCTGTCTGGATGAATGCGACTTCTTTAAATCCTTGGTTGTTGGACTTCCATACAGCTTAGTTTTTTGACAAATCATGGGTGGAATTTGTTTTGTAGTTTAGTTGTAATTTTTGCTGTAGTTTTATGTAGAGGCAAAGCATGTTTATCTACATCTCCATCTTGGCCAGAAGACCTCAAATTTTCCTTTTATTTATTTAATATTTTAAAATTTTAAAAAGATTTTATTTGTTTATTTTTAAAGAGAGGGGAAGGGAGGGAGAGAAACATCCATGTGTGGTCGTCTCCTACACTCACCCCACCGGGGACCTGGCCCTCAACCCAGGCATATACCCTGACTGGAAATCGAGCCAGTGACCTCTTGGTTTGAAAGCCAGCGCTCAATTCACTGAGGTACACCAGCCAGGGCCAGGTTTTCATTTCAAAATAATGCCTGCTGTAGTTGGAGAATGACTTGGAGAACAGATGCTATGAAGTGAACACAGTGTGAACTGCAGGGCCCCCATTCCTGGGCCTCTCCAAGGCCTCAGGAGAGACCTGGCAATGTGCTCATGGTGCTGTACCAATTCTATGCTGGTCTTTTTGTATTTTTCTTTCTCTTTTTTTTAAAGTATATTTTATTGATTATGCTATTACAGTTGTTCCATTTTTTCTCCCCTTTATTCCCCTCCACCCTGTACCACCCCTCCCTCCAGTATTCCCCTCACCCCCCAGTTGATGTCCATGATTTGTACATATAAGTTCTTTGGCTTCTCCATTTCCTATACTACTCTTAACGTCCCCCTGTCTATTTTGTACGTACCAATTATGCTTCTTGTTCCCTGTACCTGTTCCCTGATGCTCTCCCTGCCCGCTCCATGCTTATAACCCTCCATGCGATTTCCATTTCTGTGATTCTGTTCCTGTTCTAGTTGTTTGTTTAGTTTTTTTTTTTTTGGTTCAGTTGTTGACAGTTGTGAGTGTATTTTCTTAAGGAAGTACTTCTGCATCAATCATACTGGTTCTGGATCTGCCCCTGATACTTAAAAATGAATTTTCAGGATAAAATTTTAAATCCTTACTAAATGATTAAGAGAAGCCCTTACTAAGGAGTCTTGAAGAATTTAGTCATGGATTTCAGCACTGTGTTGCCTGTTGAATTGGAGATGGCTCTTGGTGGTGAGATACTCTGGCTGACTTAAACAAAATGAACATTTGTTGGCAAAATATTAGGGCAGGAGTTGGTACATTTTTCTGTAAAAGGCGAGATAGTAACTATTTTCAGCTTTCCGGGCCATGTGTTGTCTGTTGTAGAATGTAAGAAGCCATTGACAATATGTAAATAAATGAGTATGTGGGCCAATAAAGCTTTATTTATGAAAACAGGCTGAGGCTGTGTTGGGTGAGTGGGTCATAATATGCTGAATCCTGCATTTGGAGACTCTAAAATTGATGGGTGTTGGAAGCACAGGTTTGTACATGGGTGGGTCTACAGTGCTCAGTATATGCATCACCCCAGATCTACTTGGTCCTGTGTGCTCACCCCTCCTTGGCCACTTGCTCTTCTGTTCCTATAGATAAAGTCCCGACTGCTGTTATGGTTATTACTGCACCATAGGTGAGGAGCCCTGGGTCTATTCCTTAAGAACTTGGTGACTCTAGACAAGCGGCTCCCTCATGATTGGGTTCAATGGGATCAGGGATGATGTACCTGTGACCTATGCTTCCTGGGGTGCTGTGAGGAGAAAGACTTTGAAGCTACACCCCAGTTAAATAGGAAAGAAAGTGTCATTGATTAGTTATGTCTGCAATGGGCACCTGGATAGAGAGAGGTGATCCTGAAACTAGTTGATCTCCCAGGTCCCTTATGGTTCTGAAAAGCAACAGTTCTGTATCCAGGTATCTCCTTGGGAATATTCTGGGGATGGGATGACCTTATAAAATATAGTTATTTGGAATGCAAGTGTGACCTGTAACTTTACAAATTCCTAACCTATCTGCTTTTATGAGAGAGAGAGGATGAGGTCCTGATTCTCTGTTCATGATAGGCACACCTGGGAGGCAGCTGGGCATTGGGAGAAAGAAACCAAATCCTATTTCACATTAGCCTCATGGTTTACATTTACAGCAAAAATTCCAACACATACTTTTAGTTTGACAACTGTTTATTGAAAGCACATTATGATAATCAAAGTTTGTTCCCTGCCCTCAAGAAATTGTAATTGTCAGTGTCTCATCCTAGGTAAGAGAGTAGAACCAACTATCAGGAATGACTTTCTGGAATAAGTATGGATGGGAGGTAGCAGAAAGAAGATGAAGTGAGAGAGAGGGCATGCCAGTTTGTGGAAATGGTGATAGCAAAGGCTTAGAGGGAGGGATGAGTAAGAGGACATTAGTCTTGTTGGAAGAGCATATTCATGATGAGGGAGGTGAGGGATGAATTGAGCTGATTGCTGGCTGGAGGTGGAATTATGAAAGTGTGAGAAATCAGGATGTGGATCTTGGCCTTGTTCTCTAAATGATGGGGTGCCATTGTGTCTTCTTGGGTATTCCAGGAAGTTCAAGAATTGTAGATGGTATGGAGGCAGAGGAGGGGTGAGATGGTCAAGTGATGAGGCAATGAAGGAAGCTGGTGCAAAGGTGCAAACATGTGAGGGTGGGACCTGCACCTAGGGAGTGACATGTTGGGGAAGAGAAGACAGATATGAGAACTGTTTCAAAGTCAGGCTGGGCTGGACATGGTGGCATAGGAAGGTTGCAAGAAGAAGGGTGTTAAAGAAAACTGCAGATGTCTGAATCTGGGGTTTAAGGTTGAGGGTGACAGGAAACAGTTGGAGGATGGACCAGGAGGAAGAGCCTCATCTTTAATCATGTGTTTTCAGTGATGGCAGATATGGCTATGGGTTGTTTCCATGTGAAAGGTCCAGGCTGCAGATACAGAGACATGCATCTCAGACTTGGAAGGCAGTGGGTTTAATCTGGCTTCCAACCCAGTGCTGGAATTCCATGGAAGTAACCTTGAATGCTGGTTATCAAGGACTTCTTTCTTTTTTAAAAATTATTTCATTGTTCAATTACAGTTGTCTGCATTTCCACTCCAGCACTCTTCCCCAACTCTACAAGGATTTCTAGAAGTCTTCTAGGGAGTGCCAATCTCCAAGGTAGGAGGGCTTTTTATCAGGTAGTCGCTCTAATTAGAAAAGTGTTCTGATGGATCAAGGCACTGGGAAGGGGGCTGGAATGGAAGCTAAACCTTGATCTTGCCCTTGACTTACTGTGTGGCATTTGACAAGCCATATAACCTCTCCGAGCCTCTATCATGTTGTCTACAAAACAACAGGGTGACACTAGGGTATCTGCCATAGTTCCAACATGCTCTGATTCAGAGTGGTGAAAGTTGAAACTGTAGAATGGTGGAGGAATAGGTGGAGTTTCTGGAGAGAGGGCAGAGTCCAGGGCCTGGTGGTGGTGGTGGGGGCAGTGTTGATTAGGAGGGAGAGATCCCGAAGAAGAGGTGGCATCTCCATTAGCCAGAGAGAACCCATGAACTAGGAGATGAACAGTGTCAAGGCACCATCTTGCTAGCCAAGGAAGAAGGGTCTTAGAGAGAGGATGATTCTTACCTTACTGAATTTTTAGGAATTAGGAAGGAATCTCTGGGAGATAGGAATGGTTGTGGGTTCAGGAAGACATTATAAGTCTGGGTGTGATTTAGGAGCCAGCAAAGGTTTGATAGAGATGGGAGGTGGTGAGTGGTTTATTAGTGAAAAATCTTGAGCTTTATCTAGTTACATTTGTATGGGTATGATGCATAAAAGATAGAAGAGGGTTTCTGATAAGCATAGGAGCAGAAAGTGGGATAAGTGATTACCTCCTTAGTTTGCATTAGTAGAGGTAAAGAGTCCAGCCTGAGGGAGGTGATGTTATTGCTACCATCATGCCTTGTGCTCAGTTTTAGCTGGATTGCTTTATGCAGGACAGGGATATCTGGAAGGAGGGCTGTATAAGATGTGTGATGAAAGAAGGACTGAGTACCATTCAGCTTTGGGGAGAGAAGATTTTGAGGGAGTAGGGAGAGCAGCCTTTAAACATCTGAGGGGCAGAGAGAGCGCCTGAAAGGAAGCCCCTCTCTGCCCTTTCTACTTCTACTGCAGATAGAGCCGTTTCCGAAGGGTGCTTTCAACTTGGGGGTTCACTTTCCTCGCTCTCCCTTCCTGAACCAGCTCTGCTTCAGCCATCCGCCGGGTTACCTGCAGCAACAGGTGTGGTCAGCTCGGGGCTTGGCCCCTGGGGAAATTGGTGTAATGGGCTTATGGGGGGGGGAGTTTAGAGAAGAAAGCAGGTGAGTATCCCTATCCTCAGATGGGTGACCTTTATTATGTCATCCTCATGCCATCATCTCTATGGAATCCTTGGTGACATTCTTGTTAGGAGTTTTTTCTAATCCACCATAAAAGCATACAGAAAGTTTTGTTTTATTTACAGAAATTTATCTCTATTTTATCTAAATTATCTCACATATTGTGGGCTTTGGAGTTCCCTGGAAAGGGAAAGTCATCGCTAGGAGATGGGTTCCTAGCGTTGGACCCTGGGTTGGATTTTGGTCTGGGAGCAGGGAAGGGGGAAATGCAGAAAGTCTGAAAGAGACTCAGCTAGCTCTGCTTGCTCCCTGCTCTGTCTGGGTGGGGGTTCCAGGTGCCTCGTCCCAGCTCACCTCTGTCAGAAGCTCCAGGATGGGTCCTTTCCTATTTGTGAACACATCAACCAGTGTCTGGATGAAGTAAGAGCCTTCTTCGTCATGTCTGTAGGAAATGTACCCTGGGGATTGCAGAGAAATGGGCTCAGGGGAGCTCCAATGGAGGTGGGAAGGAGGGGGTGTGTGGGGTGCAAGAGGGCCTGGAAGAGGGTGGGTCCTGGAGGAACATCTCAGGGATTAGAAGCTGTGGGTAAGGGGAGTGAACAGAGGCCACCCTGGTTCAGCTGGGAGCTCATACCCTCCACTGTGGAGTAGATGTGAAGGGTGTCTGTATATGTTGGGATGGTTTGGAGACTGTCTTTTGTGATCATCTCAATATTGTCTCCACCTACTGTTTCACCGGGGTCTCTTCGTTCTGAAACACCAAGAAGAGATAAAGTTGAAGTCAGAGAGAAAGCTGGGGAAAGGAGGAGGTCATAAGACAGAGTAGCAACCTAAGACTCAGCTGGGGTTCTAGCTTTGGGATAGGGCTGGAGCAGGACCACAGCTCTGTGTTCTTGGCTGTGCCCACCTCCTCGACAGGCCTGCATGATGTACACCTTAGGCTTGGCTCGCAGGGCCTGGCAATTCTTGTTATTCAGAACCTCAAAGAGATCCTCCAGCTCGACCATCTGCTCATCCATCCCTTTGAGGTAACCTTCTCGCCCATGTGCCATGAGCACCACGAAAGCACAGCTGACAAAGTCTTTTCGGGCATCAATGGCCTGCTGGAATTTTTCCATTTCTTCCTGGAATTGCTAGAGCAAGAGGAATAGCCAGACTCAGGTGCATCCCTGGAGCCCATCTTCTGGTCCAGCCCTTCCTCTGTTAGCCTGAGTAGCTGCACCATACCTGGGCAGTGGGGTCTCTCTTTATGGTACTCTCAAATCCCAGCTGCTGGAACATGCGTTCCAGGGCGACTAGGTCTTCTTCTGAACCTTCACGGGCTTTGGTGACACACAGTGTCAGGGCTAGGCGGGCGCCAGACATGTCATATTCCTCCTGGACCAGGAGATGACAAAAATCATCAAAGGGGTAGGGAGGTCAAGGAGAAGAAGGAGATGTGGTCCAAAGAGGCCTGGGCTTAGGGTTTCTGAGTAAAACATTGGATACCTAGTTATACTCAAGTTTCAGGTGAATAAATAACATTTTTAGTATAAGTATGTCCCAAAGATTGCATGGGATATATTTCTGCTATAAGGTTATTTTTTTTTTATTGATGTGAAATTCTAATTTGACTGGGGAGCCTTTATTTTTTATTAAACATATTGAGGTAACATTTGTTAATAACATGATAAAATTTCAGGTGTACAGCATTATAATTCTGTATCTGTGTACTATATTGTGTGCTCACTACCACAAATCTAGTTTCCTTCCAGGGGTCCAGCTCTGTTTTAGTCCTGTATGAACTTGGGCAAGTCACTCCTATCTGAGCCTCAGTTTCCAAATATAGGCAGTAAGTGTGTGTGTACAAAATTTTGAAGGTCCCCTCCAGCCATGGCTGATGTGGCTCAGTGGACTGAGTGCTGGCCTGTGAACCAAAGGGTTACAGGTTTGATTCCAGTCAGGGAACGTGCCTGGGTTTTGGGCCAGGTCCCCAGTAGGGGACACATGAGAGACAACCACACATTGATGTTTCTCTTCCTGTCTTTCTCCCTCTCTTCTGTTCTCTCTAAAAAATAAATAAATACAATCTTTGAAGGTCCCCTTCAGTTGTTATACTTGGTGGCTTTGTCTTTCCAACCTTCCCATGAGTATTCTAAGTATGACTTTCTCACTTGCAGAGGTCCTAGAATTTCTGAAGCTAATGCTGAGATCCCACCTTATCCCATCTGAGGAAGAAGGATGTTTGGGTCAAAATTTCTTTTCAGAAGAGAAGCAGGATACTTTGAAAGAGATAGAGTTGGGCTCCTTACCCTGGACTCAGGTTCTATCTGAGTCTTTTTTCTCCATTTGAATGATCAAAGTGCCTTCTAGCTCTGAATTCAGGTCATATTTTTTTAATCCCCTCCTCTGTCTCTGAAACTTTAAGCTCTTCACTTTCCCTCCCCTCAGAGGCTCCCACTCCTCAGATGCTCCTTCCTGTCAGAGGCTCCCACCCCTCTCCCCCAACCTGCACCCAGCCCACCTCCTCCAAAGGCTGAGGGTTGCTCATGGCTCCTCTGATTCTGAGTCCGGTTCTCCACAGCCTTGGCTGACCCTGAGGGTTCAAGAGAAGAGAGATTGAAGCTCTTCTGTCTCGGAGTACAGACTAGCTTGTACATGTGGATTTTTGAGACTGAATGGGACCTCAGTGGTGAGAATTTGTTGCATGGTCAAAGCTGAGCAACAGATGACAGTCCATGAAGTATGTCCTCTCTTGTGTGACACTCCAGTGATGTTTTCCACTTCTGGATTCTCCAGAACTCTTGCTAGGCCCATCCCCACAGGGCCACCCATCTGGAAACTTCCCTCTCCCTTTCCCACTCGCCAGCCTGTGACAGACTGAACTCATTACTGGACTGATGAGCAGGGTGAGCAGCCCCAGGTATTCCTCTTTGCCACCCAGGAGCTGACTGGTTGAAGAATCATCAACAAAGAGATGCTTCAGGGTTGGGTTTAAAATGAGAAGATCATCCAAGTGGAGAATACTATTTTGAAACACTCCTCCTTCTGCTTTGAGCCTGAACCTTTAAGCTCTGTACCTAATTTTCCCACCTTGTTGCCTTTTCTTACACTTCTTTACCAGTCAGGACCTCTCTCTGCCAATTTGGGTGGCATCATGTCTTCTATGCCTTTCCCCACCACCTACTGATCTCTCTATTTATCTATCCACTCATCAATCCATCCACTGATTCATCCATCAATTGATCCATCCATCCATCCTTCCATCCATTCATCCATCTACTTATCCAACCAATCACCCATATATCTATCTCTCCAGCAAATACCTTCTGAGTGTCTGTTATGAGCTATATGCTGAGAATAGCTATATAAGACAGACATGCTCCTGGCCCTCAGGTAGCTCTAGTGTATGACAGAAATGAACATGAAATCTCTTTTACTCTTTCTGTCTTACACATATACACAAACACGTGCATGTGCACACACACACACACATGCTAGAGCCAGTGCTGGAAGGAAAGGGAAGCCAAATACTGTGAGGGAGAGAAAGTAGGCAGATAGAAGGAAAAGGATTTGGGAGCCAGATGAACCAGAACCAAGTCCTGCCTTGGCTTCTTCCCAGCTGTGGGACCTTAAGCATCTCATTCTCCTCTCTGAGACTCAACTTTCCCATCTGCAAGAGGTTTGAAAGAGCACTAGATGCTTTACAGCCACAGCAAGCAAGTTAGGTTTAATGATCCCTGTTAGGCCCCCTGGAAGTTGCCTCTCCCTTCCTCAGATTCCCACAGCTCTGCCTGTTTAGACTTGCATTACAGCAGTGCTTTTGATTCTTATTCTTGTGGCTGAGCTGGAAGCTCAGTTCTTTAGAACTAAAAGACTGAATCCTTTATCTCTGTCTCTGTCAGAGTCACCAGTGTGCAAATGGGTACAGAGGAGGTGTTGGTGAGAATTCATTGAGCAAACAAGTAAACAAACAAAAGAAAGGATGGGTGTAAAACTGGCCAGAATATGCATTCATGCAGTGAGAGGGGGAGAGAGAGAGAGAGAGAGAGAGAGAGAGAGAGAGAGAGAGAGAGAGAGAGAGAGAGAGAGCGGGAGACAGCGAGCAGCATGTGTCAAATCACTTACTCTCTGTAGAATTAGCTGCTCCTTAAAGCCAGGCTGACTTCCAACTCTCCTAGCTGCCAGCAGAGCTGGGCACCAAAGAGGAGTCTGGCCCACAGGATGACCTCGGAGAAGTGGCTGACAGTGCAGAATCTTGCCAGGTTTTCCCCTAGGGTCCTGTATGAACTGGGCAGCACAGCTGTCTGGGCCTTTATTGCCCCTAAATCTCCAGTCACTCAAGAAACCTCATGACAGGAGGACACACCCTTGATGAAGAAATGAAGCCAAACACCCACAGAATGGGTGATGGCAAAGCTTAGCCAACACCCCCTGGCTGAGGAGGCTGAAGCAGAGCATCCCCACCAGCTAGAGCTTTTGCACCAGCTCCCCACAAAGCATCCCCAGGCCCAGCTGGGCTGGCCATCATCAATCCATCATTCCATCATTACACCCACCTCCATCTCTTCCATGTTCAACTGTGCAGATAATGCCAACTTCACTTGTTTATTATCTCATTGAGTATTCAACATCCCCAAGAGATCAGCATTGTTTGCTCTCATTTTTCAGAAAAGAAAACCGAGACTCATAGAGGTAAAATGACTGTCCAAGGTCACTCAACCAGCAATTGGCACAGTTGGCTTTCAGACCCAGGAGGGCTAAGCCCCAGAGAGCCCTGTCCGGCTGCCTCAACTGATGCTTCACAGCTGATTCAGCTCCTCTTCTCTTCCTGAAGACTTTCCTCCTCTAGTCTTTGTCAGTCTTTATTGCACTTCACTTCATTTTGTTGTAACAACTTTAAAGAGATATAATTCACATGTCATACAACCCACCTATTTCAGGTGCACAATTCAATGGTTTTTACTATATTCATAATTGTGTAACCATCCCTAGAATTTTAGAAACTTTCATCACTTCAAAAACACTCTGCACTGGCTGGTGTGGCTCAGGATTGAGCACTGGCCTGTGAATCAAATGGTCACTGGTTCGATTCCCCATCAGGGCACATGCCTGGGTTGCAGGGCTGGATCACTGGTTGGGGGAATGCAAGAGGCAATTGCCTGATGTTTCTCTCATTCTCTCACACATCGATGTTTTTCTCCCTCCCTTTCCCTCTCTTTAAAAATAAATAAATAAATAAACCATTTAAAACATTGAACCTTTAAGGCTTCCTCCTTACTGACACTTTAGTTAGAGTAGGTGTTTGAAAAAAAAAACAACCCAAAACAAAAAACAAAAAAACCCCAAAAAGAAACCCATGCTCTCTAGTTATTGCCCCCAAACCCCATCCAAATCTCTTAGCCCCTGGTAACCACTAATATGTATTCTATCTCTATAGGTTTCCCTTTTATAGACATTTCACATGAATGGAATCGTATAATTGTGGTATTAAGTGTTTGACTTCATTAAGTATAATGTTTTAAAGGTTCACGCATGTAGTAGCCTATATCAGTATGCCTATACAGTGGAATGTTATGGTTGAATAACATTCCACTGTATAGGCATACCTAATTTTGTTTATTCATCCATCCATAAATAGATACTTGAATTGTTTCCAAATTTGGCTGTTATGAATGATGTTGCTATCCAGAGGTGTCCCACCTTTTGCCATCTCTGGACCACACTGGAAGAAGGAGAGCTGTCCTCAACCACACATTAAATACACGAACACTAACAAAAACAGATGAGCAAAAAAAAGTTTTAAGTAAATTTATGATTTGGTGTTGAGCCTCATTCATAGCCATGTTGGGCCGCATGTGGCCTACAGGCCATGGGTTGGACACTCCTGTTAAGCACACACATCTCTGTGTGAATGTATGTTTTAATTTTTCTTGGGCTTATATATAGGAGGGAAATATTCAAACAATACTGAAATGGATTCAGCAAAATGGTTAATTTTATGTTATGTCTATTTTACCACAATAAAAAACATTTTAAAAAACTGTGACATTCTCATTCTCCCAAGTTTTTCTTCTGTTTCAGGATGGCTCAGGCATCCATCTCTGCATTAACTTACACATTTATAGCTGTTTGTTATGTATGTTGGCTCATTCTACTGAGTTTTTCTGTCACTTGCATTGTTCACTTAATTATATGTCTGAGTGACCTATGTTGGTATATATGGAACAAACTCATTTTTATTTTCTCAAAAAGCTTTTTATCAAAGAATAACTACATGCAGGGAAAACCCCACAATTCATAAGTATGAAGCGTGATGAATTTCCACAGACTTAACACACCCATGCAACCAGAACCTGATGAGGAAAGAATGTGACCCAGTCCCTGCCCCTGGGTTTCCTCTCCTGCTCCCTTTGCTGTCACTACCCCACCCCTGCCTTCCCGACACACTGTGTTGATATACAATACTATAGATTAACTTTTCTTGATTTTGGTACTTCATATAAATGAAATTGCACAATGGTTCTTTTTTTTATCTTGCTTTGTTCATTCAACATTATGTTTGTGAGATTCAATTTTTTGCATGTGTCTGTAGGTATTTCATCTTATTAAGAACAGTATCTCTTAATCATTTTTTCATTATCACCTCCAAGAAGCCATTTTAATTATCCATTGTGAAATTTAATACCACAGATATGCTGTGAGACTACATCTATCCATGGTCTCATCTGTCTGTCTATCTATCTATCTATCTATCTATGAATCATCCACCCATTCATTGGTATCTACTTCATCTACATATTAAAGGTATATCTGTATAGTTTTTACTCCCCAAAACCAATTTATGCCCCACATGGAGGTAAAATATTGCTCCCCTTGAGGACACATGCTTTGTAGCATTCAATTGTGTGAATATAGCACAACTTATTTACCCAATCTATCACTGATGGGCATTTGGGTTGTTTCTAGTTTTTTTTTCTAGCCACAGAAATATACATATTCTAGTACATACCTTTTGATGGATATATGTACACATTTCTGTTGGGCACACATATTCTGTTGGGAATTGCTGGGTAGTCGGGAATGCATATGTATAGCTTTAGTAGCTATTGCCAAACCATTTTCCAAAGGGGTTTTTGCCACTTTTACCCTCCCACCAGCAGTGCAGGGGGACACAAAATCTATGCAGACATTTAGTATTTTCCATCTTTTTCATTTTAACCATCCCAATGCTCTATCATTAGTCTTAGGAGCTGAAATATTCCATAGAATGGATGCACAGTCATGTCCCTGCTGATGGGCATTTCACGTGTTTTCAGTTTTTCTGCCATGAAAAGTATTGCTGCTACAGGCAACCTTGTGTGTTTCTCTTTAGGCACAAGATTGAGCCTTTTTTTCAGAGGAGAGGCTTTTAGGAGTAGAATTATTGGTTCAAATGACAGGCGTAAAAAATTTTGGTAAATTCTGACTTGCCAACTAACTGCCACAAGCCTTTAGCAATTTGCTTTCCATTTCAAACAATATATGAGAGAGTGCCTGGTATCTCTGCATCATCAATAATACAAAATATTCCCATGAAGCATCAGTTTCCTCACATGAGAAATGAAGACCTATTAGGGCTGCTGGGGAGATTCAGAGAGGCATCCTGTACATAAAGCACTCAGCAATGCCACTTCTTGGCATATAAGAGAATGTTTTATTTTCTTATTTTCTATCTCTCTTCCTCTTTCTAGTTTTTCTTTTCCTTCAATCACTTTATTAAACAAATATTTATTGAGCACTGTGTCTGTTGCTAGGTCAACATTGCTGAATAAACCTGAGGTAGCCTCGATCTTTGTGAAGATTACAAACTCACGTCATCTCCTCGTTCTCTTCCTCCTCCTCCCCCTCCACTGTCACCAACAGCACTCACAGATCTTGCAAAGTGCCTCATTAACCCTAGCACTGTAACAAGTGTTAATTACAGATCATGTCCCACCCATGAATCTTCTGTGCACAGGTAGGCTTTGGGGGCTGTTGGGTTGGGTATGCAAAGATGTAGGAAACCATTCCCTCTCATGTTTCTTCTCAATGACTCAGGTAAGGTCTGGCTATTCCAGGAGATGACAGAACAGCACAACTGTTGGAGCATTGGAATCATCTACCGAGTTTGGGAGACATGATGTTGCTTGGTTCTGTGATGGTGTGAAAAGCACACATTGTCCACTGAAAGAGAAAAAACAGAGAAAGACCTAATTCAACTGGACCCAACACTCAGTCCTACGATGCCCAACACTCCAGCTAAACTATGCTTCTGCCACATTCTTCCTTCTTGAAATTTCATACTCTCACAGAGTCTGGTCAGCTAAGACAACTGAATCTGAGAGGAAGGGATTGGGAATATGGGTATTCGCAATGGTGTGCTGGAAAATGTTTAACAAGTGGCTTTCTCTGAACAAACAAACAAAAAAGTCATGATTTGTAGTGTTTGCCAACTTCCATGGTGTAAGTACTCTCCTTGCTGATTTCAAGTTACCAGCACAGTGCCACTGAATGTGGAGTTGGGAAGAGCTGGCTGCAGCGTACCACTGAGTGTCTCACAGGGAGTCTGTGAGAGGAGAGCCCAGCCTCATGTGCCCAGGGTTCAGGAAAGTATTTCCTGAGGCATTCTTTTTTCAGGAAAGCAAGGGGGTCCAGGCCACCCAGTCCTTGGGGGTGGAGGTCATGTTTGAGTATTTCTTTAGAGTCAGGCACATAGTAGGTGTGCAGGAAGGAAGAGCTGAGCAGATGAATGAGTTGGGATGTCTAATCATCTCCTGAAATGGAATGTGGCAAAAGTGACTCTATCAGTTTCTCTTCAGACAAGACTTCAGAAGGTCCTGGCTCCTTTAACAAGACATGTATTTACACAGTGTGTGTGTGAGAGAGGAGGATGTGTTGTTATTCCTGGCTGGAGTAACTAGTTAAATTGGTTAATTATATTAATAAGAGTTATCTGATAATTAGTGCACTGGAGAAAGACAACCGGGGGAGAAGACTCCGTGGATGAATGTATGCCTAGAGATTATAAGGTGGCAGATTGGCTTCTCAGAGGAGCTGGCATTTTTTAAAAAAGATTTTATTTATTTAGTTTTAAAGAGATGGGAAGGGGGGTAGAAAGAGAGGGAGAAAAACATCAATGTGTGAGAGAAACATTGATTGGTTGCTTCTTGCACACTCCTCTCTGGGAGTAATGGAATCATCCTGGTCAAGGCACATACAATCCAGATATGTTCCCTGACCAACAA